CGAGGACGCAGTAACTGGGAAGAATAGGCTACCATTCATAGAAGGCAAATCGCTGAAAAGGGAGGCATCAATGACAACAGGTTTTCAGTCTCCACCTGCAGCCCATTTCGCAGTAGCCAAGTACTCTCCCACCCTAAATGAGGCTGCTTCCATGCTGCTTGACGTGAGACCGCTATCGCAGGCACGTGGAATCAGCGCTTAAGTCGGATTTTATTTAATTTTTACGTGAATTTGGCGAATTGTTACGGCATTTGAAGGCTCTCTATTGAACAGGTGGAGTGAAGGAAACAAGCAGAGGCGGTTATAAGTGCGCATTGTTAAGCCACAAAGAAAAGCGGACTCTCACGATAAGGCTAAAGAGCTGAAAATCGGCCACCCTCTTTATAGCGAAGAGATTTCGCATAATTTTTGCTTTAAGCCCAGCCTATAGGTGAATGATTAGATAAGCTGTAATTATTTTTACCCAGTACCTATGAACAGTCCACACCACGTATATTTTGGAGCAAAGTCTCAGGTGGGAGAATCGTGGGATTCAAAATTCGCTACTCATGTATTTATACTGCTCCGGAGAAATTTTGTTGCGATTTTACTTGATGGATGGTGGCTTACCAATAAAAGGAGACCAGAGCCGGAGAAAATCATTTCGAAGTTACAGATTAGTAAACAGGTCCTGGATTTTCAAAAAGACGCGTTTTAAAGATATACTTTTTGAATACGCCATTTAATTCATCTCTAATTCTGTAGGACGATATCGCATACTTCCAGCACTATCAGGAGATCATGCACGAGGCCCTCGACTATGTTCGAGGCGTCTCGCAGATGCTGATGAAAAAGGTCGAAATTCTCGAGGGCCACTTCAAGTTGCGAAGGTCAGCAGGTGGTAGTGCGCCGTTAAACTTTGTGAACTATTAACCTCATCATTCTCGCCATTACCTTCACTTCATTTCTCCTTTATCCTGCAAACCTCCGTGTAAATAACTTTCGCATCGCTGCACATCTTTCTGCCTCCAACTACTCACCTCCTTCGCTCACATTTAAGCCTTGTACTGTCTCTCACATCTTCGTGTTTGATATGAAGTGCATAGTGACTTTCCCCTGTTTTGTGCTTACTTGCGTCCACATCCTCACATTAAAACCATCAATTTTCAGGATTGTGCATCGGTATTGGTGGGTGAACCTTGGATTGAACTAGATAGGGAGGGCTAGAGGGCAAAAGTTTGCTGGCTGGGGATCAGAGAATGTAGATATGCACAGCAGATAAGTGAATCAACACAACCTTCCAAAGGACAGTGTATCGAGTATGTGCTAAATTTTAGCGGGCTCGCCAGTCCCAATTCTTGCATCACAAGTGACAGTGTTCAAGACTGTGTTGGAATGGTGGTTGTTAGACAACAAACCACGAGAGCATTGTGACACTCATTTGAAACATGGAACAGATTTTCCCGCTATTGTGTAGGAATTCTATTTTAAATAATGGGTAGTCGCAGAGGAGTGGCGTGGCTTCTTTGTGCCCACTTCGAAGCATTGCCTTCACTGAATGCGTCCAACTCTCGGATATAGAAGTTTGTAGGAAATCCAAATGAATTGCAATGTGTGTGTGTGGGACTATTAATGGGACGATGAGAAGTGACGCGACTTTAACTCAGAATCTTTGCTGCCTTTTGATTCACAGGAAAAGGCGACACGACTGAAACAGATTAGTGACTTGTCAAAATGCTGACCGGATGTTGTTGGACGATGTGGTGCCTATCTTGTGAGTGTAAGAGTTTTTCATTTTAGTCACTTTTGTCCAAGCATTTCGCGAATTACTATTTGCTTCAAGCCTACATGAGGATGGCGTAAGCAGCACATGCGCGTTACGTTTTAACGAGTCCACAAAAAGCTTTCATGTGCCTGTGCAAGCATCGGAGGCATCTCTTCACTCCTGGTAGACGAGGATATCAAAGGTGAGAAGTGAAAGTTTCGACAAAAGTAAAAATGAAAAGTAACATTTCTCAAGATAAAACCTTTCATTTTAGCGATTTTCCTATAGGCCTTGTTTTGCTGAGAGGGTCTTTATTTACCTCTCCACTCACCGCCTGCATTTTCACATTACCAACTTCAGCGTCGTGACGACGCATCCCAAATCACCATCACCA